CGATCACCAATGTGGGTCACTGAGTCCGGGATGGTCAAGTCTGCCAAGGAGCTGCAATTGCAAAAGGCACGATCCCCAATGTGGGTCACTGAGTCTGACATTGTCAGAATGTCCAACTTCACACAGCCTTGGAAGGCGAACTGGGCAATTTCGGTTTCACATTCTGGGATGTCAACCACCAGCAACAGTTCTGAGTCAATTTCACTATGGAAACTGGCAAGTGCTTCTTGATTGCAGCATCTCACAGTGTTGGGTTTGAAGACGACACTCACAACAGTCCCTGCAGTAAGGCCTGCCTCGTCCAGCGTCTCATCATTCCCTAGGGAGCGATCTCCAACAAGGATCTCTACAGCAGTCGATCTGAGAGTAACTTCATCCCAAAGCTGCTTTCTGAACTGATGTTCCCTGAGCTGCTGCTTTAGCTCTCTACCTCTCATTTCTGGTCCCACTTCCAAATGAAGCATGTCGCCATTCACCAGCTGTGCTGAAACTCTCATTGCCATTTGCGTGACTTTCGATCACTCCGATCAGCATCAGTGAGCTAAGAGCAGGTGTGGTGAGTATCTGCTTAAAATTAATTGGTTCAATTGTTTCCATATTAGCTCAATTGGGTGATTGTTCCTGTCTTTTCCTTGTTTATGCAGCATCCTCGACCCTGTCAACCCAAAAATGGATGACCATTGCACGTCAGCTGCGTACATGATTTCGGATGCAAAACCGAAAAAAAAAAAAAAAAAAACTGCTGCGCTCCAATCAATGTTTCTATGCAACCCTATGATATCCAATATAGATGCCATGTTCTTCTATGTTGGCTGGTGGGAAACAGGTGAATAGTATCCCTGTGAAACCACAGGTCCAATCCGCTTCTGGACGATGACGAAAACGAGCGGTCGCACCAGCGGTCGCGGGGTCCAACGTGCTTCGGAGTCGAGCTGGCGAAGCCGGGCCGGCTGGATGTCTGCTTGGCTGGTGAGTTGGTGAGGCACGGCACGGAAGCAAAACCGAGCGACATCACTGTGCAGGCCGGCCTTTCATTTGGCTTCGAGGGCTCTATCAGTAGCTGCACCATAGCGCAGATTATATCATACTCTCTATAGTTTTGGGGGTGACAAAACAAGAAAAACATTTAAAAAGCACGGGATGGCCACTCTTCGAGATCGAGATCGAGTGCCAAAGAATGAGAGTGCAACAAACCATCCTCTGTGCCCAATCATTCTTGAGTTGCTCAGCTTCTTTCCTTCTTTTACAGGACTTGGAACTCGCAACATACCATCATTTGATGATCCTCGAAAACCACAAAAGTGCCTAAATGAGATCAGCCAACATCTCCTCCCAGAACCCAAAGGGTAGTGAACATAGACTCAATATGACTCCATCCCATGTGCAAAAAGAAGAAGCCATCCAATAACCCTCCTGCCAGTGGGGGCCTGCTGGTTAGGGCTCAATGTTCGAGTTCGTTTTCGATCGACGATGCCTGTGACCGCCCCCCTCCGTTGCCTCGCCTTGCCAGTCCACAAGGATGACCAAACCTGCGGAGAGAACGCCGATCACCAGGTAGGCGAGGAACAACAAGAGATCGCCAAGACCGGGGGTCACAGACATCAAGCGACACACATGTGCTGTGTGTGTATGTTTTGCTGTTTTTTTTGAGATCCCCCCAAGCCATGTATGGAACATTCCCTTGATCATTGACTCATTGACCCCTAAAACATCTTCGAAACAACCCCAATGTAGGCAATTTATACCATACATGGACTGTCTTGGATATAATGATATATCCATAAGAGTTGGCTGTTCACTGAAAGACACAGCTAAATATGTCACAAAGAATAGAGCATAGGTATCCTTTGCAT